AAAGGAGCCGTGAAACCCACGATAAAGTGACGTCCACAGTCTTTTGTTCGATGGAATTGATCTTATCTTCGATGCGGTTCATCATGAGGGCGGTCTTCTTCTCCATGTCCCTTCTAATTGTAATGTTCCCAGCAGCTAGTGGAATAAGTACGGTGTTTATGCATGTTATCATGAGATGAGTGATGCTAATTGCCGCACGCAAATTGCGAAGATATGAAAAGTCCGGCTTCGTCTTGGTGAACTCTTGGCTTGAGCCTGATTCGAGAGCTCCGTCAAGCGCAAGTTCAACATATCCCTCTCCCATCATAGTTAAAAGCATAGTGAGAAGCGCAGAGACATCCTTTGGTATTTCGCTACTAACGCTCAACTCTAGATCTCGTCCAACTCCTTCCGCCAGCCACTTCAGCATTCGTTTCGCAAAGGCGATATTCAAAATGCCGTCTTCCTCTGTGAGCTCGATTTCATGCTGTTTTTGCAAATCTGTATTGTCTTTCAGTCCAGCTACGCGTAGTAACATACTCTTCTGAGTGGGGGTAAAATCTGAGGAATCGAGTCGATTGAGATAGGCGTCTTTGGCAGAGTTGATGAGTTCGCTGCCAGATTTAGCAAGGGATGACATAAAAGTGGTGGTAGCTTTCTTTCGGCGAGTATGGAAGGTTGTGAACTTGAACATCAGTGACGTATAAAGTTCTTCCAGATTTCTCTTCTCTCTTTCAAGGTATGATGAGCCACTAAAGTATGGAATAAAAAGGTCTTCCAATTGCTGGTCCAAAATAAGAGCAGTTTTTGAGGATATGGCTTCTGGATATTCTGTCAATCCATGAGATTTCATATCATCCACTAGACCACTAATATAACTCCGAGCTGTCTGGAGCGATCTTAAGAAGGCCAGAGATGATACACTGTTGGCTTTGTCTAGTACCATCTCTAATCGTTGCTGTATCGACTGCTGGAAAATTCTCTGAAGAAACTTGTCAAGAACCTGCTCATAGTATGGGAATGCTCGTTTTATAATCGTCGATTCCTCCTGAACGACCACCTTAACCTCATCAACAAGTGACTGCAGGCTTGGTTCAATGCCTGGAGGGTCAGCATCGGGATCGGCCAGCCTTTCCCATGTTTCCACGTCACCTCCAATTTCCTCAGTGATGAGCTGGCTGCGGTCAATGAAGAACTGATGTTGATTAACAAATAACCCAACGACACTCGCGCCGCCGTTGAAATCGTATAGTACAGCTGCACAGTCTCGCATGCCATCAAAGTTTGCTTTCCGATAAAAGTCGTCAAACTGTTTAAGCAAATCCTTCTCCAAGGTCTCTGAAAACTTCTCAATAATTTCTCTTGTATTTATTCTTTTCGAAGTAGACGAGCCGTTCGCATCCATCCCAATAATCGTAGGGGTGCCGTTAGTGTCACTCCAGCTTGCCGGGTCCAGACTTTGACTTATCCTGAGCAACTGTCTAGCGATATGGGCAGATCTGACCTTTCCCTCACCGCTCCCCGATCGTCTCAAGTTTTCTAACAGAGATAATTCCCCACGGTTACTGACTTCATCCCAGCACTCGATCAAGAAATGCGCATCCAAAGCCCTCCTTCGCTGGAGATCTAGCTCTTCCAACTTCTTACCCGTTTCAACAGCAACATTGCCATCACCTTCGGCATTTCCTGGTCGTCCATTGAGAGAGCTATCCAACTTCTGAAACGACTCAATGGCCTGAGTCAACTTGAGGCCAAGGGAACTAACATTCTGGGCATGTTGGGCTTCTGCCCTTCTCACAGCAGCGGATAGCTCGTTTTCTCGTAGTTCTAGGTCGCCAGACAACTCGACCATGCGACGCTGGGCATGCTCGAATGTACGGATCAGGGGTTTTGGGTCGAAGGGTTGGCTTCCGCCGGAACCACCAGATCGACGCTGCGATGGGGGGATGGCAGTGTCCGATAGGGATTCGACGAAATCCTTGACGATGAAGTCGCGGCTGGAAAAGGTTTCAAGGGTAAATGCGGGGCCTTTGTTGAAAATGGACCTGGTGGCGGTTGAATGAGCGCTTTGCGAATTCAAGGACGGGTTATCTGTCATGGTGGTAGAGTTTCAAGCGTTGGCGCGCTATCATTGTTCGGAGGAATAGTAGAAAGGCGGTTTAGTCATAATTGAGTAGTTGTGGTAAAACCGCCGGGTAATAATTGAGCTAGACTGTCAAATGTAGTGGGTGTCCGCAGATTTCATATGGCTCTCGTGGTTGTTGTTACAACCGTTGTTCATTTAACTTGCTAACTGTGTGGTGTTGGTGTCGAGATAATTGAACAGCGCCATATTTCCACGTGAGGCTGTTAATGACACCCACAGAAATCTCATCTATCCTCTGCATTTTTTTTTTTTTTTGATTTAATTTGAATAGATTTTCACAGTGAAAATAAGTAACAAAGGGATATATGTTTATCTTTTACCGATATTTGTATTTCTGTGGTGCAGTTCTATACACTACAGGTAAATAGATCTGCCACCAAATTGCAGCCCAAAAACATGATGACGCGAAGGCGACCCTTCATAAACCTCGAGAGTGGACACAAAGAGATATTTGAAAAATCAAGACTCAACGTTTACCAGCTCTCGCACCACTGCATAAAGTAAATTTCTACCAGCACAAAGACAAAACCCATTTCCAACTTGAGATGTGCTAATTTTTCTTTCCTATCTGAAGGACATATGTGTATATATGGATCCGTGGGAACCTGTCCCTGAACAATAGTAACCCGAATATATCAGACATCAGACATTTCTTAATCCCCAAGCCGGCCGAGATATATCGCTTCCAGTCTGCGTCTGCTGGCTCTGCCGGCTCTCGCCCTGCTCATGGCTTTACCTACTACGGGACCGCGTATCCGACGGGACTCGCGCATTGAGACTTCCAGGCTCACACCCGCTGAACGTGAGGAGCTCATCAAGCCCTATCTCCCAGACCCGGCTATCAGAGGTAAACAGAAGTATAAGCAGAAGAAGAAACCTATCCGAACATTTCTGAAGTCGAAACTACACTATCTCGTTTTCTTCTTAATCCATGTCTTCTTCAGCATCTATATCAGGTTTCGCCAGGCCTACCATGCGATTATCGATAGAATCCTGGCAATTCTCTACTACCATCACCGCACCCCGGAGCTGATACACAAGGATGTGCGCGGCCTGAGCCAGTTGCCACAGCATCTGAGTATCGTGCTGACACTGAGGAAGGACGAAGATGGGTTAAATGTGATTATGGACGAGGTGGCGGAGTTGGCGGCATGGAGCTCGTGTGCGGGAATTCCGATGTTGAGTGTATATGAGAAAACAGGTGCGAATTGAAACCCCTTATTTCTTAACTTCCCTGAGAGACGGGCGACTGGTGAAACCACATACTGACACAAGCAACACAGGCATCCTAAAATCCTACATCCCCACCCTCCACAAAATAGTCATAAACAAACTCTCAACCTACTACGGACCCCCAACACACCAACCAACCCTCCGCCTCTTCGCCCCACACCACACCATCTACTCACCAACCCTCTGCCCCTCCTCCTCAAAAGCAAACCAAGCCATCCTCACCCTCCTCCTCCTCTCGTCCACAGACGGCCGCGAAACCCTCGTCGACCTCACCAAAACCTTGGCCGAAATGGCCCAACACGGCAAACTGTCCCCACAAGATATAAGCCCGAAGCTAATCGACGCAGAGATCAGCGAACTGACATCTCCACCCACACCACCACCGACTGATATGTCCGATCCGCACTTCGACGAGAGGAATAGCGTTTCCTCGTCGAGTGGGACGGGGAGTACGCTGATGATGGATTTGCCGCGGTCTTCTTCGGGCAGCACTGTTACGGCGGGTACGGAGAATGACGCAGCTACAGCGGTGTTGATGAAGTCTGATCCGGATCTGTTGATGGTGTTTGGGCCGTACGTGCTGCTGGATGGGTATCCGCCGTGGCAGCTGCGGCTGACGGAGATATATTGTACGGGGAATAAGGGGAGTTTGATCACAGGTGGCGGGGAGGCGGTGGAGTATCAGAAGTTTCTAAAGGGGTTGTGGAGGTTTTCGAAGGCGGAGATGAGGTTTGGGGGGTAGATTGGGGTAGATTGGGTGTTGCCATTTGCTATTCTATTCTTTTTTACTTTGTGTTTTGTTTAGGTTTCTCCCACGTAGAACTCCTACAATTGGGGTTATATATCCTTATCCCGGCACTTGTTTCTTTAACATTTGCATTGGTACATTTGCTTTAATTTATATTAAATTTTGGCATTTAGATCTCAATAATTTGGGAGGACGGCTATACGTTGAGGATCATCTTCCAGGAAAAGAAACGGGCTTTGGTTTTAAGAGTCACGTGTTATCTGAACACTAAGAATTCATCTTTACCTCAGTTTATTTTAGTTATATATTCCTTTATTTTGGCCTTGTCAAGTTTATAGCAGCGATGGACGTACATATAAAGCAACAGGGGCCTAATTCTAGCTCAATGCCAAATTCAAGAAGCATAGCAGGCTCCACTCGGTGGATGTCATTAAACATGCAGCAGGTTGGTGTACTCTAGAACGCAGGAGAATATCGTCTCGTGATGGGGCACTGTATATCTCGCTTGCTAATAAAAGAAATCTCCCGCCATGAAACCATACGAATGTCCAAATAATTAAATAAATAATAATGATGATGATGATAATGATAATGATAATGATAATGATAATGATTTGTATGCCGTTGCCGTCAATCTATCACAAAAAAGGTGAAAAGCAAAAGCTGGGCGCTCTGGTTCCGTCCAAACAGAAGCTTTCACAGGACTGCTGCAGGGGGAAAAAAGAAAGAAAGAAAAAACGAATTAGGATAATCGATTCCCTTCCCAGCCTCCGGAATCAAAGGAGAATTATTCATCTGCAGAATATATACGTGAGTATTCCTTCCACCAAGACATTATTGGAATCGCCCCTCCCATGCCAATTGAACGGCAGCCTAATCACAAGAGGGCAGGGTTTACCAACCGGCTACACAGGCAAGACATCTCACAACCTCTTCTCCACCTTCCGTGACGCCTTCAACTGCACACCATGAACATACTTTTCTCCCTATCCTCTCACTAGTCTGTCCTTCATGTCTGGGCAGGGTGTTGAATGGTGAGGTATATTCTCGCCAATCTGGACCTTTCACCTCATTATCGTCTTTCCTACCGCCTGAATTTGGGTTCAAGGGAGAGTGAGACACGTTGCAATCCATAGACATGCACTCCCGCAGACAGATATAACAAGTTCGTTCCGCACACAGGTCGCAGTTGGCGTAGGCGTCTAGGATGGTGCGTGTCGTTGGGCAGCGATGGCAGATGTGACACGGGGATAGAGTAGAGAGTGATGCGGTCTTATTGGTTTGCGGTTGGGACAATTCTGATACTGGCAGGGGTAGAGTAGTAGGATAGTCTCCATGCATGTTGAATTTCATCCTAGAATGTGGTGGGGACAATTTTGATATTGATGTTGCGGAAGATGCGGGTATGATGTTTTCAATGTCGGTGTTGTAGAAATGATGTTTTTGTGCCATGGGTAGGTCAGTTGAAATGGCATTCCAATCTTGCAATTGCTGGCCTTGCTGGCCTTGCTGTTGCTGCTGTAAAAAACGCCTTCGTTTCATCGGCCCGGGTTGTAAACATGGTCGAATGTGAGGTGCTCTCCTCTCAGGGCAGGGCCAAGCGGCAAATTTAGAAGTTGCAGCGCCCAACGACGATTCTTTCACGAACTGAATGTATCCATCTTTAAATTTCTCTTCGATGTGTTGAGCGTTGCCAGGCATGAAAATGGCGCTGATTTCAGAGAGGAAGGGGATCAGCAGTACGAACAAAAAAGTAGACAACAAGTTGAGAGGCTGACATGACAAGGATTATCAGGGTAGCCTACCATTTACCCATATTGTCATTGATCTGGTTATCCCAATTACCAACGTCTCTCCTTCTTTTTTTCAAGCTTGTAGCATCTGAAAAGTGACGTCCTCTTTGATCATTTAGGGAGAGAATCGTCGAGTAAGAGGGGGAATTTGGGGGTGGGTTGGACATATACATTGCGGGCAAGGAAGACTTAATTGCATAGTAGATGCAGTTATTAGTCTGTACATCTAGCCCAAGAGCAGAGATGGAGGTTGTAGAGGA